AACCTTGAGCAACCATCAAAATGATGCATAATTATGATGGAAACACTGAAGAAGGAGCTGGCTTGGGAAAAAGATTCTATTTTGAACACAGTTTGAGATGTCCATAAGATATACAACTGGATGTGAGACAGATAGATTACAGATCTAGAGCTCAGAAAGGAAGTGTAGGCTGGATGTACAAATCTAGAAATTCACAGACCTACAAGTAGAGATATGTAGGAAAGTGAAATTATAAAGAATGAAATTCAGAACTCCACCCTCATACATACAACAGAATATCTAAATTTAAGAGTTGAGTAGAAAAGGTAAGGCATACTGAGAATGAGAAGCTTGCAAAATAGGAGAAAAATGGTAGAAGATGATCATGAAAGAACAGAGTCCAGTGGGGGTTTCAATAAAGTGGAAGTGGTCAAATGTGCTAGGCTCAGGGAAGATCAATTAGCAAAGGTCTGCTTTGTGAAAGACTGTATCAGGGCTGGATGAAAACTGGGTACAAAAATGAAGATAGAGCTGGGCGATGATGGCTTATGCCTGTGATCCTAGCTACTTACTCATGAGGCTAAGATCTAAGAATTACAGTTCAAAGCTAGCTCAGACAAGAAAATCTATCATTCTTATTTCCAATTAACCAGCAAAAAGCCAGAAGTGGAGCTGTGGCTCAAATGGTAAAGCACTAACCGCAAGAGAAAAAAGACTTAATGACAGTGCTCAGCCTCTGAGTTCATTCCAGATCCAGTACCATCCTCCTCATCAAATGAACATAGGTAATTGGGCATTGGTAACTCATCTATAATCTTAACTACTCAGGAGGCTGAGATATGGGATTGAAGTAAATCAGCCTGGTCAGAAAAGTCTGAAATTTCAGCTCCAAAATAACCAGGAAAAGCCAGGCTGTAGGCATGGCTCAAGTGGTAGAGTTTCAGCAGAGCATGCAAGCCAAGTAAGCTTGAGGCCCTAAGTTCAAAAGCCCAGTACCACCAAAAACAAAAGAGACACAGAAAAAGGGAAGAAAGAAAGAAAGAAAAGAAATGAAGATTGCAGTATGGATAACTTTTATCTTTCAAGAAATCTGAATATGTAGTTAGGCTTCAGTAAGATTCATTTTTCTCAATCCTCAAAATTATTATAACTGTTACTATCTCTAACAGGGTTAGAGATATCAACTATCTATCTATCTATCTATCTATCTATCTATCTATCTATCTATCTATCTAAACTCGTTTTTCTTATCAAAATAATCCCATAAAGCTCTTCTATTTCCAGGGGAAAAACACATACCTTTGTTTCTGTTCCATAGTTATAATAAATTTAGTATCTTTCACAAGAACAGAAGCAGCCTGTTGTACACCTTTCCTTGTTGCACAAAACTAAAAGTGAATTAATAATTAATGTATTAATCATAATCAAAATTAAACATCACACTAAAAAATAAGCAACCAAACATCCATACCACAAGTGTCGGTTTCTGATCAGAGTATGCTCTTATAACACTGGAAATTTTGTAGTTTAATGTTAAGTCAAACTTAAATTCAGTCTGGTTACTACTGCAAGGAAATCCCAGGACCACTTTCCGAAGTTTCACAGGTCTGTGGCTCTCATCCATTTTTAGACATACAGCAGGTCTTTCACCATCTGAAAGCCATTCTGCAATCTTAATAGAAATAGATGCATTAAATTTTTTCTATTAAATTTTTCAAAGAATTTTTCTATAGGCAAAATAACATAATTATTAATCACTTTAGAGTTGAAGTATTTCATGAAGTAGTTATTTTTTATTTATTTATTTTTTTGGGGGGGGACCTCCGGTCATGGGGCCTGAACTCTGGGCTTGGGCGCTGTCCCTCAGCTCTTCATCTCAAGGCTAGTGCTCTACCACTTGAGCCACAGTGCCACTTCCAGATTTTTTTTTTATTTTTGCTTATGTAGTGCTGAGGAATCGAACCCAGGATCTCCTGCATGCAAGGCAAGCACTCTACCACTGAGCAACCTTCCCAGCCCAATTTTTTAATAGTTCAATGATACTTATTTGTTGATTTATTGGTAAATGCAACCAACAGCAGTATTTCAAAACTATACCCACTATTTTCCTGTGGCAAATTTCCAATCAAGTATTATTGTTTTAGTTTATTTTCCTTTATAAGAGTCCAAGTCAAAATAAAAAATTCTATGATGATGTCACAGAAACTTCTTACTATCATAATATTTTGCTACTATCCAGAACTATACCTGAAAATGAAAAAAAGATTCTCATTTTTCTTTAAAATCAAAATGGTTAAATATCTCACAAGTCATAACAAACCTCACAGACTAAAATCCTTACTTACATCTTCAGCATTTGGAATTGTTGCAGATACAGCCACAAATCTCATTGGAATAATAGTGATGGTATTTTGCAAAGGTTGAGATAATGACTGTACAGTTTTCATTCTGCTAACTACAACTTCAAGAGTTGGACCACGATTTTCATCTTTTACAACATGTACCTAAGAAATCAAGAAAAAATAATCAGTTATAACTCAAAATTGATGTAATCAATTATAATCTATAATGATATTAACATTTTTTCTTGGAGTCTTTTCTACTTTAAGGAGTTAAACATATTATTTGGCTGAATATGTCCCATTTCTTTTAATCGAATCTAATCATTTCATGTGATTTCTCAAAGAAATAATGTGCTTACTACCTCATCAATGAGAAATAGTCGAACCAGTTGGACCAAAGAGTTGTCTCTCCATTTCCTAGTCATGCTGTCCCATTTTTCCTACAGAAAAAAAAGAGTGCAAGTAGTTTAATGTGATGAGGGTGGAGGGAAATGGAAAGAGAAAGCAATAGAAAGGTTAACATGACTAAATGTAATATATGTATACGTGAATTACCATGTTCAAACCCCTTTGTATAATTAATATACACTTAAATGACAAAATGACAAGAAAGGAAAATAGCCTAAGTTAGGTGGTAGCGAGAAGGAGAGGGCCCATGGAAAGAGTGAATGAGAGTGACTAGTCAAAGTATTTAATATGCATGTGTGAAAATAGAACAATAAATCCCGCTAAAACTGCTTAAAGAAGAGGAGAAAAGGAGTGAGGGAGAGAGATAAAGTAAGTGAATTTGATAAAAGCATATTGTATGTATGTATGGAAATGTCACAATGAAGCTCTCCTTGTACAAGTTATATATTCTAATAAAATATCTTTTAAAAGACATCAATAAGAATTTATTTAAACAAATGATGGGCAATACTCTGAAACAGACTTAGTAATTAAAAACTATTTAAAACATTTTGACAGTGATTTAAAGCACTTTGTTTTTAAAAAGTAGGTCCTTTATATTTCTAAGGTTTAATCACAAATTTAAGTCAAACTGCATATTTTTTAATTCTATCAAGGTAGGATTTAGATAAGACAGATCATGCTGCCTTGGTAGAATGTATTTTTGCTGAGCCAAACAATTATAAGCAGTATGATTACAAATCAAAATAACAAATAGAATATTCTTTGTCTATTTTTTATCTTTGTTATTTGTATTCTACCTATTTATTTATTTGGTATATTTTGGTGCCTGAATACCATTACTTTTTATGTTAATTTGTTTACAATACAAATATTTATATACTTAATTTGTATTTTCATTTACTTTTTTCTTTTGATATAAAGAAGTAGGTATTTTCTTTTTTTGGTCAGTTGTGGGGTTTGAACTCAGGGACTGGGTGCTATACCTAAGCTCTTTTGTTCAAGGCTAGCACGCTACCACTTTGAGCCACAGTGCCACTTCTGGTTTTCTGGTGGTGACTTTCATGGACTTTGCTGTCCATGACAGTTTTGAATACCGGTCCTCAGAGCTCAGCCTCCTAAGTAGCTAGGATAACAGGCATGAGCCACCAGTGTCTGGTTCATAAAAAGTTAATATTTTCTGTTCAACCTGTTAAATGAAACAGTATATATAATGCTTACTGGAGTTGTCATAATAATATTGGCATGCTGAATCTCAAATAGGTCATCCATTACTGTATCTCCAGTGAGTTCTTTACAATTCAATCCTAATGGTCCAAATTTTTCCTTCCAGTCATCAAAACGTTGACTACAAAGAGCTTTTATTGGTGCCACTGTAAAAAATATATTTACTTTTGACATGAATACAATTTTAAAATTGTCATAAATTTTAGTTAATAAAGTTAGGGTAAAAATATGCATCTAGACCTAGTGCTGATAAGTTAAAAAGTTACCAATATAGATATTGGTATCTATAGGGATATAAATTTAAATCATCAGAAAAGCATAAAAATAGAAATAAAGTGACTGCTCAGGTAAGTACAACTAATCATGGAGAGAGATCAAGCAGAAGATTATTGCTTTTTACTTGTTAAGCCCTTTTGTCGTTATTAAAATTATATTAATAGTAGATAGAGTCTTGCCTAGCACTACTATAAAAAGGGAAGAATTTAGTAGGGCTTGAGTGTAGCTCAGTAGTAGAGTACCTAGCATGTGCAAGACTTTTGAGTTCAATCTCTAGCATCACAAATAAATACAATTAAAAAACTTTCTTAAAAATGTATGGGAAATCAAAGAGTAATGCCTATAACCTGGATTTAATTTACTTCTTTTCTGTGTCAATGTTTTATTATCATAACTAATCATTATTCTTATATACTTACTGTAAACAATTTTAATGTTTAGCCATGGTAACGGTGCTTCCATAAGCAATCTTATGATAGCTAGTTCAAATACTACAGTTTTTCCAGAACCAGTTGGAGCACAAATCACAAAATTTCTATCTGTGTAAAGAAGCTAAAAAATAGAATTTATCTGATTGTGTAATCACATGTAGACAAATGAATAATAGTTCAAACATTTTTATCTCTACAATTACTAAAATTTCAATCTTTCCAATCCCAAACTACACAATTAATATGTCATATTGTTTTATTTATCAAAGTAATGTGATAAACCTAGCATAAGTTCCTTTCTATTCCAGAGAACTTTTTTTTCTTTGGCGATCATAGGACTTTATTAAGATACATCACTACTAATTACATAGATACTCCTAAACCAGAATCCAAAGTCCATAGGAATTTATAGTTGTACACATTAGAAATGACACGTTCAAAACCAGAAGGTTAATATCCTGATGCCCATTTGATAGTCTGGAGTGAGTCTGCAAATTTACTTCAAGCTGGTAAAGAGTTTGTGGGCCACACAATGGTCCCTTGCATGCAAGAAGTCAAAGAGCTCATCTGTGCAATCCTCTTTTGTCTGTGATCGAGATGATACACGCACATGACAGGCCTCTAGATGTTCCCTGGCCTTTGCACATTTCTCCAGCTGCTCACATTGCTCTCTCATTGTTGTCAGGGGATCCACTAATTCCTCCTCTTCCTCTTCTTCCTCAGAGAACTTTTTAAGAACTATTCCAGAGAAGTTCTTATGCATCTAATAAATACAAACTAATCCATCTATAAAAGTCATGTTTCACTTAACATTTCCTTAACTCCTAAAATGAGTGTGGCAGTGACTAGGCCTCTCTTTAGAAAGCACACAACTTAAGAGAAGATTAAATAGTTTCAAGATACTTACATCATCAAAAGCTTTGGACTGTATATAATTGAAGTAAGGGAACTCTTTGAAAATGCTTCTAAATTTTGCCGCTTAGAAGAACATTAAGGAGTCAAATATTTCAGAGTAAAAAATGTTATTGTGTCTGGGGGGGGGGGGGAAGTGTCAGGAGGGAAAAAAACTGGGAGAAAACAGGGAAGAGGTGACACTTTTCAAAAAGAAATGTACTCATCACCTAACCTATCTAACTGTAACCCCTTTGTACATCACCTTCACAATAAAAAAGTATTTTTAACTTTAAAATTTTGTTAAATGGACAAAGATCCTGCTAGTATGATGAAATCTTCAATGTTAAATCTAGAACATTAAATCAAATAGCCTAGTCAAGGGGAATAGCACAAAGCAGCACTCTGGAAATATAAAAAGAAGCATAGTACTATGCTTCTATATGTTTCAATCTCCTCCATCATATTTAACTTTAAGTAATAACATTTATATGATTTCTTGTTTCTCTATAGGGACTTTCTAAGTTCTTTTTAGAATTTGGAATGCAAGTAAGCTGGGATAATTTCCATTAATTCTATTGTAAGGTGCCAGAATAGCACATTTATATACTGTTAAAATATTTCAGATCTATTCCTTTCTCCAACCTCACCCAAGAATGGTAACTCCTTAAGAACTTACTATTTTCTTAACTAACATATTCCAAACACCTAGATCATAATATTTACATAGTAAGTACTCAGTTGCTACTTGTTTGCATTTACTAAATGAAGCTGTTGACATAAATCTGCACTTTATTTTTAGTTGTACAGCATGTCAGAATACTTTTGGCAAAACAAAACTGAAATTTTAACTTTGTCATGCCATCAAGTTTTGAAGGATTCTTGTTTTTTCGTCTTTTCCTATATTAATTTATTACAAGCCTAGAAATGGACTATCATGCTAATTTTTCTCTCATTAGATAGTTCTATATTAGTTTATATTCACAAACTGAATTTCTGACTCAAAGCAGACACAGAATGTTTCCCAGATCATGATAAACTTCAATCATTTATGTCATATATCACCACTCTCAACATCTGAAATCAAATTTTACATTTCATTCAATAAATTCTCATCAATGTCACTCATTGCTGGAAAAGCTCTACAAAACTAAAAATAATACTCTATGGCAGAATAAGCAAACAAAACTTCTGTTTCATGGATTACAATTCAGTAACAAAAGAATTAGCAAATATATTGTGATAAAATAACTGAAATATTCTCAAATGAAAATAAGCTTCATTCATTTTGAATACATACTTAAAAATAATAAAGCAGGGCAGGGAAGGTGGATCAGTGGTAGAGTGCTTGCCTTGCATGCATGAGGCCCTGGGTTTGATTCCTCAGCACCACATAAGCAGAAAAAGCCAGAAGTGGTACTGTGGCTCAAGTGGTAGAGGGCTAGCCTTGAGCTGAAGAGTTGAGGGACAGCACCCAGGCCCAGAGTTCAGGCCCACAACCAACAAACAACAACAAGAAAATAATAATAAACCCATGGTTTCCCTTATTTGCAATATCTAGTATATGTCTGAGACAAGCAGAAAAGGTCAGATAAGTTGATGTTAGGGAAATGAACCCTAAGATATGTATTCAAATTTTTTTCTTTCATGCGATTGTTTCTAACACATTTACAAGATTATTTCTTTGTTGCTTTGTAGTCCCTCCCCCACAGTATAACCCCTGCTTTCACTGTATTTGATGTTGGTATAATTTGTGGAGGGAAAGGGGAAAAACAAATCGTTTAAATAGGGATACAGGTGGATCCATTTCAACAAAGAAATGTACAAGTCGTTATGTCAAAAAAGAACTTTACAACTTTAGTGGTGGGGGGAGAGGGGGGAAGCAGGGAGGATTGGGTGGGGGGCTGGAGGGAGGATGGGAAGGGATGGGAAGGAGAAACCAAGGAGGAGGCTACAAGGCTTGATAAGAAATGTACTCATTATCTTGCCCATGTAATTGTAACCTCTCTGTACAGTATTTTAACACAAAATAATAATAATAAAATAAAAATAAAAAAAGAAAGAAAATAATAATAAAGCACAATATTTCAGTGAGTTTGATAGCATATGAAAATTTGGGCAAGATTAAATCAATAGTCATCAGTGTAGAAAGCAGTATGAACTAACAAAGACGTTTAAACAACAAAACAATTTTAGCTGTTCTTCTACAGCCTCAAAATCTTTAAAACGCTTGAAAAGGTAGTGCTATATTATGAAAGAGTTCCAGCAAAAGAAGAATCTCTCATCATGTAGCTAGGCAATCTCTAACTATTTAATCTATTTCTATGTATAGCATGCTGAGATATCAAGTGCAAAATGTTGGTGGCTATATCAGAAGTTATTACTTCATGATGTATGACACTCTTGACACTATTATCCCCCTCCTTCTGTTTTAACTATATTCAGTTAGATGCATTGGTTGCAACTTTTCATGACTGGTCAAATATGTTTTTTTTTCCTTGGTGAAATAAGTTTTGACCATATTTCATTAACTCAAATGATTGCATAGTACCTAGAATTGTTGCCTAGATGTCCATAGCTTGACTGCCCAGTAACAAACTCACTTTCTGCTTTGCCAACTAGACAATAAATTTTAGGATTCTAGAGCATTTCCAAACTTTGAGTCACTAATTATATACAACTAGAGCAGTTTTAATGAGATAAGTTGACTGTTTAAAAATGTTCAAGGGGCTGGGAATGTGACTTAGTGGTAGAGTGCTTGCCTAGCATGCAAGAAGTCCTGGGTTCAATTCCTCAGTACCACATACACAGAAAAAGCAGGCATGGTGTTGTGGCTCAAGTGGTAGAGTGCTAGCCTTGAGCAAAAGCTCAGGGACAGTGCCTAGGCCCTGAGTTCAAGCCCCAGGACTGACAAAAAAAATTCCACTGATTATAGATTAGTTCTTATAGATTATTTCTTCTAGACTCTTCTTACAGATTACTACTTTACTAAATCAAGGGCACAGATAGGAGCTGGTGGTTCATGCCTATAAGCCTACCTACTCAGGAGGCTGAGATTTGAGGACTTCAGTTCAAAACCAGCCTGGGCAAAACAGTTGGTGAAACCCTATCAAGAATTAATCAGCAAAACCTAGACTGGAGTTATTGCTTAAGGGCCAGCAGTGAGGAAAAAAGTCAAGTGAGAGCTCAAAGCCCTGAGTTGAAGACCCTGTCATTGGCACACAAAAAATACAAGACAAACAAAATCTCAAGGACAGATCTGCATGAGTTGAATCCCTGCTACCTGGGAGACTGTAAAAGGAGAACTGCTTAAATTCAGGGATTAAGATCCACCTGGCTAAGGTAGTAAGATCATGTTTTAGGGGGGGAAAAAAAGTTAAGTTTAAAGCAAACGAACAGAAACAAGGCCACACATGGTGGTATGTGACTGTAATCCCAGCATTTGAGGAGGCTAAGAAAGGAAGATCATGAATTCAGTGACAGTCTGGGCCACATAGAGACCCTGTCCAAACAAACAAATAACACAAATCTGACTTCTTTATCCTCTCACAGGCCGATAACAAAGGGTTCACAAACTGGTACCTAGATTGCAGGCCACTTGAAGTAGCATTATCATATCCCAGTATCTCTTACATTACTCAAAAGACTGCCAACCAATATAAACACAATGAAATGAAAGTATGTTTAAAGTATTATTTCATAAACATAAAGCAGATGTTCTGAAATAATTTAAAGGATACGGATTTCTGCAACAGCTTTCAAAGAACTTAAGCCATTTTTGGTCACACCTAAAAAAATGCACATATAAAACCTTACACACTTACATGGATTTTTAAAATCTTTTCTATAATAAAAGGCTTTCAATAAAATTTGTATAACTTTTTGTTGACTACAGTTGATAGCATAGTTAATATTAGGACACAGTTAAAAACAACACAATAATAATAAAGAAATGCAGAAATTACACATAGAAAGATAATATACTTAAACTTACTATATTTTGTATTCTTTCCTATGCTAAGAAATTCAGATTAATTTGTGCTTTTATAAAAACGGAAGAAGCAAGAAATTACCTTGAATATCATGAGGCTGGGATGCAATTGAAAAAGATGATAATTTAAATATATCTTCTCCAATTTCAGAAGAAGGAAAAGCACCATCTGCTGGAAGCATGTTTGCAGAAGATTGAGATTTCTGGTTATTATTTCCACAGTTCCTTGATTTCCCCTTGTTCACTTCTCTTTGGGTAATTTTCACTGAGCCAAGGTCATAACGTAAGTGTGCACTGTCACTGGCATAAGTATTTTCATGCACATTTTCACAAATTTTAAATAATCTGCAAAATAAAACACACCACTATCACAACATGTTTTCTACTTCCAACAGTTGCTTAGCATTTGAAAAACTAGCAAATAATTTTCTCCTTTAGAAATATTCATAGTATGGTTTATTCAAACAAAAAAGTTAATTGAGATGTTCCAGGAAGATGGCGGAGGAAAAGCTGGAGACTAAACAATCTCTCGCATAGAAAGCAGTTTTAGTGCTCCAGTGAAGTCCTAAGCCAGAGAATCACACCAAGTGTGTCATCACAGTACAGAGAGTTAGGCCAAAGAGGGAAAATCCAGGCAAGTAGACAGCTCCGAGCACTTGCCAGCAGCCATGGCTGCAGTGGCGGCAGAGGCAGCAGCAGCCATAGCCGTAGTCCAGGACAAAGGCACCAGAAGCGGCCGGTGAGTGGATTCTACTCAACACCAGCAAGAACAGACAAAGAGCAGACATCTTCATCCTGCAGATCACAGACCAGAAATGACCCAGGAACCAAGACTCAAGCATGAGTAGAAGCCTGACATCCTCATTCCTTCTCAGGGAGCA